TGAGTGTAAGAAGACCTGCCAGGAACAAGCATGTTGGGGCATCTTAATGGTGGATCATAAAACTCTTAACTTCTTGTTTTTTTAATGGAAGACTTTGAAAAAGTTATAGAACCTTGAAACACCTTGTTTTCACAGCCTTGCTTAACTATAGGTGGGCCTCGTTGGAACAAAGTCTAACCTTCCCCTTTATCCCTACTTTTGCGAGTCAAAAACAGCATGGGGCATTTAATAAGACCTGTATCCCAAAAAGAAACCAATTTGCCACAAGGTTCTCACAGTTTATTTATTTATTTATTTATTTATTTTTGGCCACGTTTTAAGTTCTGTTGAGCGTTTCCAACAAAAATCCCGATTTTTATCGCCATCATGGCAAGCGTGAAACGGGGAGTTGCTGTGGGTCAAAGCAGCTTACGCCTGTTTTAAAAAAGCAGTGCAGATCCTCAAGCTGAAGTAATATCTCCGTTTACTTTGACCACCACATTCCTTCAGTGTCACGTTGTGCAGACGAACAGGCAGCCATAGGAGTCGTCCAGAAGCCGTCTTTTCACCTCTGAACTCTGTCCCCTGACCCCTCTGTGGTGGTGTGTTCTGGTGTCACGAGGTTTAAGCTTTAGTACAGCTGTGTTAGAGGATTATTTATGACAGTGATACAAGAAAGTGGGTTTCTAATGCTCCAAAGTGTAATGTCAAAAACATTCTTACAGCAGTTTCTAGTCTCTTTCTCTACTAAGCAGTTTTAGAGCTCTTGTAGTACTCTTAACTTAAGTAAATGTTAGTTTAATTTTAGTCTGATCTGCAGGTACCTGATTACCAACCAACTAACAATATTCCAGTTTAGAAGGGATAACTTAATTATTGTCAGAAGTTGATAAAATAAACATGAACTCAGCTGAATCACCCACATCAGTCAAAGCTCAGATATAGAAAACTGGATATTTGTTCACTTTTCATGAGTTTGTTTTGTTTTATTAAGAACTTGTTTTTATTTGCATCTTTAAAGGCAAAACCTTTAAAGTGTCAATATACAGTCAAATATAGTTAGGATTTTAAATATATGTATTTTGGGCGCAATGAAAATGCATTAGCATTGTCCAACAAAGGCCAGTCAGGGCATCTGGATGGTTTTTGTTGAGACGTTTAGTCTTTCATCCAAAGGACTTCATCAATCTGAGAAGCCACAAACAAACCACAAGCCGCACACTCCCATAGTGGACCAACCAGTTTGCTGGTGCTAAGATGGTTTCTGGGGACCGCCTTCTCCCCCGTCGTCTCCTCTGAGGCAGCCATAGTCAAGTGGTTCAAAACATCAAAGTTCATGCGCAGTAATTCAGGTAAAAAAATCTAAAAAAAAGTTCAGTCAGGTCATCTGGACGTTTTTTTTTTTTTTTTAGATGTTTCATCCTTCATTCGAAGGACTTCATCAGTCCGACCGAATCCAAGCTGAATGTTTTGAACCACTTTGGCTATGGCTGCCTCGGCGGAGTTGACGGGGGAGAGGACAGGCCCAAGAAACCAACTTAGCACCAGCAAACTGGTTGATCCACTTTGTGAGTGTGCTGCTTGTCAGACTGAGTTTGTTTGTGGCTCCTCAGTTTGATGAAGTCCTTTGGATGATGGATGAAATATCTCAACAAAAAATAAACCTTCCAGATGACTTGACAGAGTTTTGTTGGATTTTTTTTTTACCTGGATTATCGAGCATGAACTTTGATGCATTAACGTGGTGTTTCTTGATTACATAAATTATTGGTTCGGTATAAACATGTTGATCAGAACTTTCTTATCTTTAAGTGTGTTTCTGTTTGTCCTGTTTAAAACCCAGACTAGTTGGATTTATTTATTGCTGCTGAAGATGAAGGCCAATGTATCCGTCCGCCATTTTTATCAACCTTATCTGATTAAATGAACCCATTATCTGCTCAAGAAAGCCACAAAAACACATTGTTGAACTTCACCAAACAGGAAAAAATCTTGTTTTTAAACAAATGTATGAATTTTTTTCCTAAAATTATTTTCTGTCTATAGTGTTAATTGTTTCGCTTTAGCTCATTTTGTTTCTGTACAGTTCTGCTTCGAGTTTAAAGAGGGGGAATTCCCTTATGGAGAAACGTATAATATGTTGTGTAGTTTGACTTTACAAACGTTATCCATTTGCTTCTAATGTAGCAGATCAAGATATACTGGAGCATGTTGCTACACTTTTAAAAAGAGGACAGATAAGAATGTTCTCACTTAACAGTCAACACGTGGTTATCCAAGTTGAGAATTTACTTATGAGGTGCGCTGGTTTCCTGATTTACTGCTAATTAAAAAGTTGTGAAAGCTCAACAAAATAATAAATATACGAGTTTTTGACCTAATGTGGAAGTGTTTAACAGACAGAGTGATCTTCTCTGCTCTCCCTCAGTCTCAGCAGCACATCGGATCAATCTGAAGAAAATTTGTTTTAGTAAGAAAAATGCACAACACACAGCTGGTATGAATCATATGGATTAAATAAGATTTTTAACGAGTTCATGACCCATATTTTGTTCTGTTTGTTTGATTTGCTTATTGAAAGAGAAAGGTAGTTATTGTTAATTACAGGGCTGGAATATGTAACATGTATGTCCTAATTTAGCCATGTACCTTTTTAAAAGCCTTGTTTCCCTGGTGGATTTGACAAGTGTCAAACACCTGCTGAGCCTAACTTTCCTCTTCAGTGATTGCCCAAGAATCAGCCACACCTCGTGGCTTCGTACTTCTTGAAACAAATTAAACCAGCATTTGCTTTGTATTGCATTTTGCTCAACAGCTGTGAAACATTACTCACCGACAGAACAGTTTTAGTTGCCCACACTGGATTTCACCCTGAAAAACTCATGTATCCCACAGTAAGCCCCGGTGATGTGGCATGCTGTGGCTTTGGTTCGAGACCGAGGTGAGGGTGTGGAAGGAGGGTGTTGCGCTCAACAAGACTGCTGAAGCCCTCCCTCAATGTGGTTCCCATCAGGAGAGACTTGCACTTGTGGCAGAAATTCCTGCCTCGTGGCAAAATGCCTTGTCTGGATTTAATCAGATCAGCTTCTGTCGTAACATGCAAAGAAAACAAAAAATATATACCACGCTCTAGGATGGATGATGTCCTGCCTTTGTCGAGGGTGTTATTTAAGAGCAATGGTTGGTGCCGTTTCTTTATCAGACATGATGACTTAACTTTGTGAGACTTTAAAGTGAGTTTAAAGTCGTGGATGAAAAGGTTATGAGCAGTTAGTTTTAAGGTCAGCAGCACTTTAGTCTTGGCCTCACTGAACTAGCTGGTCAGAATTACCGTAATTTTCGGACTATAAGGCACACTTAAAATCCTTACATTTTCTCAAAAATCGACAGTGAGCCTTATAATCCAGTTCTGGTTGTGCTTACTGACCTCGAACCGATTTTATGTGGTACACGGCGCTCAAAAATCAGTCAAAATGAACTCATTTCGCTTAATGCGCCTTATAATCTGGTGCGCCTTATAGTCCGAAAAATACGGCAAATGATTTTTCCTAATTGAGGTTATTCAAAGATCTACACCGACTCGGATATTAGCTTGTCATAAACTGTCCACACAATCTCATCCCTTTAACATCCCTGTTGAATTCTGCAGTAGGAGACTTTAATTAACCAATTCCCTACTATTAAAGGACCTACTCTATACTTTTTGTCCAGCTTTCAAGCTCTAAAATAAATTTAGAGCTTGTAAGCGAGTTGTCCTTTCAGTCTCAAAGCGTGGTTCTAAGCTAAATAATCATGGTCTGACGCGTGGTTAATATATGCCGTTTTCCTCTAGCAGCTCCTCTTTCTTTAGCGTACTGTCGACAAAGCACATTTTAACGGCAGGAGGAAAGATATTGAGTAAATAGGGTCTGGAGGAGTTTATTGCGTTCTTGTGGTGCATGTCAGAAGAAGAGAAAAAACAAGAGGCAGCTTGTGGGAGTCGATAAAACCACAGCACAGACAGTAGATGTGCAATAAGGGAAAGATTATAATGGAAAAACTAGTAACGCTAGGTAAAATGACAGTCTTATTAAAAACCTATCTACTCAGAGTTGCAAGCATGACTGATGGAGGTGCAGGAGCTGATGCTCCCAATGGGGGACCTGCACTTCCTGTCACATCAGGTCTTACTGAGTGCAGATTTCCTGTTCGCCTGAGAGGGGAAGATTGTGCTGATACCAAAGTGTTTATTTTCCCCCTCTCTCTTGCTGTAGCTGTCTTTGTCAAACACTGAAGAAATTCAATTGGTTACTCAATATCACATTGTAATGTAAACTCGTGTTTCCAGCTTGCCTTTTTCACAAGTTTCTTCATAAATAAGCTCATTAGTGTTTGATTTATCTTGAGGATGTAGCGCAGTCATTAAAGTGGTCCTCTAGTCCAGCCTGTTGTAGACCCACTGCTCTAACGTGACGCTGTAACTGAGATCGCCACAATATTTCTTTCTAAGGCCAATCGTTTATACACTGTACTGTCTAGTATTTATAAGGCCCCGCGGGAGTTCTGTTTATGTGTGGGTGAGTGTGTGTCTGTGCAGAAATGAAAAGTAGATATCTATGCAGCTGCTGCCTGGTAGCAGTCAGGGGTGGGTCACCTCTGTCAGCAGAGGAATGCTCCGCTCACTCAGCAGTTTTTACAAACACAACGCACTCCCTGCCTCTCAAAGACAGCAGCATGCGAATCTTGCTGACATGTTGGTGTTAGTTTCTTGTCTACTTATGTTGGAATAGTCTGTTCAAAATTGGTGTCTTCCATCTTGAATGTGAAACCGTCTCTAAAGTCTTGGTTATAGCTTATTTAATGAACAACATCTTACTTCCTTTGTAGGACAGTTTCACTTAGTTATACCTGGATGTTGATCTAATCTACTCCTGTTTGTTTGTGCCAGTCTTTTATTTAGCTTTAGCCTGGTATGATAAGACACCGAAGACCCCTGAGCACTAAGTCTGAATTTCTCTTTGTCTTGTTTTTTCTTTTTGCAGAGGAGGTCGACTACAGTAACTTTGGCAACAACACAATAACTCGTAGGAAGAAGGCCGTGGTAACGCTGCGCAACAGCGACGTCAACCGCAAGCGTCCTCACATCCGCATTGGCATGCCGCAGGATTTCAGGCCCGTTTCGTCCATCATTGACGTGGACATCCTGCCTGAATCTCACCGCCGTGTTCGTCTGTATCGTCACGGCTCGGACAAACCCTTGGGCTTTTACATTCGAGATGGAACCAGCGTTCGTGTGACGCCGCACGGTCTGGAAAAGGTCCCAGGCATCTTCATATCTCGACTGGTGCCTGGAGGGTTGGCGGAGAGCACCGGATTGCTGGCGGTCAATGATGAGGTTCTGGAGGTGAATGGCATTGAAGTAACAGGAAAGTCACTGGATCAAGTGACAGACATGATGATCGCTAACAGTCACAACCTGATCGTGACCGTCAAACCGGTGAACCAGCGCAACAACGTGGTCCGCAGCAGCAGGATCTCTGGCAGCTCAGGCCAGTCGTCTGACAGTGGCGGGTCAACTGGTTATCCAAGTTTGTCTATGGCCTTAGCGCGAGAGCCAACCTCTGGAGCACATGGGTACCAGGATGACCTGGAGAGTGACGAGGATGCAGATATCGTCATTGAGAGCCGCCTCAAACGGCCATCTCAGCGGTCCAATGCCTCTATGGCATCAAGCGCATCTCGCACGCACCAGCAGATCGTGACATCGTCGGGTCCAGCGGCTTCGCCTAGCCCTCCGTCACGCCCATCATCTGTGATCTCCACCGCCTCCTTTCAGTCTCAGACAAGTCTGAACGGAGGGTCCCATCCTCACCACCACCACTACCAACAACAACAACAACAACACCGCAGCAGCCTGAGCCTCCAGCTGCACAGAGACCTGAACCTTAAGCAGCTTCAACAGTCCAAACACAGTGAGCAGCACACACAGCCTCTGCATCACAGCAGCAACCCAGCCCTCCGGCACAGCAATGGCAGCCTGCACAAAATCCTCAGCTCTCTGAAAACGGACCCACGTCACAGTCTTGCTCTTCCCAAGGGAGGGGTGGAGGAGGATGGCACCGTCATTACCCTATAATAACTACAGATACAGAAACATAAACATGTCAGCTGCTCAGAGAATGAACTGGAGCATTGAGCCAGAGAAATTTGAGTAACTGTGGAACTTCTGGTGGTTTTTACATGGATGATAAGAAGTGTTTACAGCAATAATAGTGTATATTTTTTTTCTTTAGTTTTTTTGCTGTTTTGTTTTTCATGCAAAGATTTCTGTGTTCTATAGAAGCATTGGAACAAATTATGTTTTAGTTGACTGTAGGATAGGATTATGAATGTACCTACAGCCTGTTATCTTTTCTTTATGACCACTTATTAAGATCAGTTTTCATTCTTATTACTGGGACCAACTTCTGGGTTACTTAGGGATGTTTTGAAAGAGCAAATCTATATATTTCTTACCTTCTGATAAATGCTATGTTAAATTTTGTTTTTATTATGACTTTTATGCAATGATGATTGTGATCAAATCTTTGTATCTTGTTAAATAAATTATTCTATTTCACATTTATACAAACTAGAAAAGTGTTGTGAATGTTTAAAAAAAAAGATACGCATATAGGAGATTTTAAATAGCTTCGTGATGAGTAATAAAGTGCATCAAGGTCATCTGTCACAGAAATTTGTTTTTAGATAAAACAAAATGATTACAAAAAAATGTATGAAGGTTGAATTCCTTTCGTCGGGCACAGTCCGTTTATCATTTGGCTTTTGGCAACAGCAAACTTTCATCAGGAATGTACCTTTATCCTGTGTTGAGGCCCTGCAGCAGCAAACTTCTTTCACCTCTCTGCAGATGAATGTTTGCCTGCCATGTTTACTCAGGAGGCCAGACTAATCAAACAGCTAATAGAGCTTTGACATCAAGCTAATTTGCACCGACAATCAACAGATTTTGGGTTAAGCAGGAGAACAAACATCCTAACCGTCGCATGCAGTCATTGTTTTGGCAGAAAAAGGGGGCGCACGCAGCAGGCTCTGGCATTTAAAAGCAGATTCAATGCTGGTGTGCGTGGGAGAGATGGGTTTCTTACACGTGGTTTGGATGCAGATTTAATTATTCAAGTGTAAACTTGTTAAACCCAACAAAGAATTAAGAGTGGATTAAAAATAAGAAACTGGAAAGAAGTTTAAAATTAGTTATGCGAGGAATACTTGTATACAATACCACCATTTTGTATTGAATGACATTAAATGCTCAATCTATCCAAATAAACTTGTCTTGTGACAAATACAATCGATTGTATGTTGAAAGGTGATGAACATGTAAATTAACCTTTTGCATTAAAAACTTTTGAAGTGCTGTTATGTGCTAACCCTGGCTGCCATCTGCTGGCTGATATATCAAAGGCACGTTGGAGAAAAGGGAAAAACCAGAAGCTTTGATTCCTGTAATCCAAAGTTGCTATGACTCGGCCTTAAATTATCATGAAAATTTTCAGATCGGACTGGAGGAGCGCAGAAGACCAAATGCTCTTATGGGTGCATAAATCCAGGGATTGATTATTTTATATCAGTACATTAAATTTACTTCAATGTAGGACCAAATGAACGTATTGTAGAAAAGTGTTCTGTTCCACCAGAAGAACTTGCTCAATCAATGCTAAAACGCAACTATACTATTCAAACTATTCAAAACATCCAAGTGAGTTGAGATTCAAATAACTTGCTGTGAGGTGACCATACTAAACCACTGTGGTGGCTGACAGGTTGAAATGTGCCAGAAAAAGGGCAAACCAGGAGCAATAAAAATAGTTTATGAAACTCAAAAGATAAATCGGTTTAAAAGTCATAAATTGTCATTCTAGTTATTAAAAAAAATAATATAAACTCAAAACAAGTCTTCAAGCTAAACTATGCTGGCTCTATTCTCAGACTCGCAGGTAAGTTCATAGTATGTAAAATTATAGTATGATTATTTGAACAAATTTAGTTCAATAAGTGGAGTGGTGGCGCTCAGATTACAGAAGGCAAGCCTGTGAGCGAAAGGTCAGTGGTTCGACCCCTTGGACCGACAACATCAAAATGTGGGTGTGAGGGAAAGCCCCACATCTGCCTCCACCCTCATTTGACCCACTCTGGGCCCCTGAGCAAGACCCTTAACACACATATGCTCCCCCAGGCACCCTAGATGGCACCCCTCTGCTCCACACAGAGGGCTGTGGTAACTTAGTGTGGTCATGTCAGGAAGGATATCTGGCATAAAAGCAATTGGCAAGTCTTTGTGTGAGTTAGTTCGCTGCGGTGACCCCTGAGGATGGGAGTAGCCGAAATAAAAATTTAAAAATTATTTGAACAAAACTGTATTTGATTTATGTGTGTATGTGCATACACCGATTAAACACCAAAATTTAGTTTTATTTTAAAAGCTAGAAGTTGGTATGCGAGTCCGTTCTAGTTCATGAGTTAAATCAAATGTTTTGAATCTCAAAAAAAAAAAAGGTGCTGGAATTCCCCCAAACGGAACCGCCTACAATTTTGACCTTCGGGACGTCCCGTCCACTGTGATGCGCACGTGACAAGTCAGTTGACAGCAGGTCACAAAAACAGGAGCTATGGAGCATCACCGGGTCGACAGGGTGGGCCTTCTGTCTCCTCTGGAGGAGTCTAGTGCGGAAATAAGCACAGACAGCGGCATCGTGTCCCAGAGCGCGAGCAGTTTGTCCATGGTGAGCGACATCTTGAGCAGCGGGACCGTGTCGCAGAGCCCCAGCTTCGGAGCGGCGGCTGCGGCTAACGTTGCCCCTCTGAACCCGAGGCTGAATGAAGCGGCTCAGCTCGAGACAAACGACCAGCGCGACTCGGAGCAGGACGACGAAGTCCTGAGACAAACAGCCCTCGAATACTCGTCCTGCATCAAAGCGACAGCTGGAGAAGAGGTTGGTTAAATATAACCAGCTAAGCTAGCTCTTCATGCTAGCTCTTTGTTTATATTCAGCTGGACACAGCTGGACGGCTTGCAGTGGATCTGCACACTGTTGCTTCCAAGTTTTCCTGTAAATTTAAGTCTCGCGTGCATATAAAGTGATTTTGAATATTAGAATAAGCAGCTGAGCTGTTTACAACCCTTCAATAAGTTGAACACGTTCCTATCAGAGAGACATTGTTTTTATTCGTTTCATTGACTAACCTGCACCCTCCTGTTAGGACATTTAAATGGACAAGCATGACACAAGGCTGTCCTCGTGAAAAGACAAAGGTCTCTGTGTTTGAAGCCTTTGGCCAAGTTTCTCATAAATTTAATGGCACAACATTTCAACTCGAGCTAACGTGTGTGGTGGCTGTATTTGAGACACAAAAGTTGCCACATAACTGATTGAGACTTTAAAGTAATCAAAAGCTCAGGCTGAATGTACAGTATGTCTCAATTTATTTTTTGTAACCCTTTGTCAATCAAGGTCCTGTGCTTGGAGAAGAGCTTAGAAGAAATGCTTACAAGAGTGGATGAGTTTGTGGGGATGTTAGATATGGTAAGCATTATCATTTTATGAGTATTCAGTATACAGCTTCAATCTAAGTGCATTTGCTTTGGTTTGTATTATTTCCCTAGATTCGTAATGATACCTCCCAAATAGTGAATGAAAATCTACCAAAAATCCAACAGAAGGCTGATGAAATGAGACAAATGTACAGAAGGATCGACAAATTAGAGGTAAGTGATTATTTTAAGGTTTCTGGATGAAAAGTAGTTTTAAAAAAAACAAAAACCTTATGCAGCATGAAGAGATGTATGTAAAATTTGTGAACAGTACTTTAAATCACAATAAAGACAAAGCAAGTTTGTTTGTATAGCACAATTCAAATATGAAGAAAACATTTTAAAAAAGTACATTGCAAAGGCATACTAAAGGAAAGTAAAGAAAAGTTGGACTACAGACTGAAGTTCAGGTTAATGTTTTAACTAGTCAAACAGTCGAAGGCAACTCTAACCAAATAGGTTTTTAACCTTGATTTTAAAGAACTCAGTGTTTCAGCATGATTTCAGTGTTTTGAAAGTTTGCTCCAGATTAGTGGAGCATAAAAACTGAATGCTGCTTTTAAATGTTTGCTTTTGATTCCGGGGATGTGTAGTAGACTTGAACCAGAAGATCTGAGTGGTCTGGAAGGTTGGTCCGACAACAAATCTTTAATGTATTTTGGTGCTAAGCCATTCAGTGATTTATAAACTAACAGAAAGTATTTTAAAGTATTTTCTCTAGGGAGCCAGTGTACAGACTTTAGAACTGGGGGTTGATGTGCTCTACTGTCTTAGTTTTAATGAGGATGCAGGCAGCAGCGTTCTGGATCAGCAGCAGCTGTCTCATTGACTTTTTAGTCAGACCTGTGAAGGCACTGTTGCGGTAATCAATTTGATTAAATATGCACGTGGATGAGTTTTTCAAAATGAAATAAAACAAATAAATGGTCTAAAATTATTTTTAAAAAACTTTTTAAACATATTCTGAACCCTTTTACAATTTGTTTATTACTCACCCATAACACAATCACTCATACGCACTTACCTTTAGTGTATGAGAGTTTGACACATTGTAGGGCTTAAACTAGGGATGCACGATACTGAATTTTTGGCCGATATCTGATATGACGATATGTTAAAACTTACTCGGCCGATAATCGACACCAATACCAATATTTTTTTTTCCTAAACCTCAGCTCTAAGAAACATATTTGATATTCTTTTAGTCTGATCAAATATAAATAGGTATTGACTATTTTGTAATTAAATTTTCATTTCATAACTGATATCTGTTCATTTTTGTCCTATTTTGGGGGGGGGTTAATTTTTTTATTTTATTTTTTTATCTCTAGATAAAAATGTGATCTCTGTATCACTCAAGTTAGTGTTTGCTTTAGTCAAATAGAGAAGAGTTTTTAGTTCTTAAAACAACATTATGTTCTCTGATGCAAGTCTTAAATTCATTGTTTTGTCTTATTCTACTCTGGTGTGTCCGCAGGCCTTTGTAAAGATGGTGGGGGCCAATGTCAGTGCAATGGAGGAGCAGGTCAAGCAGGCGGAGGGGGAACTGGGAACACTACCGAGCGCTTTTAAGAAGATTCTCCGCACAATGACTGTCCCAGGCTTCCTAAGTGTAATATTTAATTCATGCTTTGTCCACTTGTACTTATATTGGCTGATTGCTAAAAGTGTTGAGCTTCAGGATTTTTCGTTTATTTTTACCCATATTTGTTTTTTACAGTTTTGCAAAGCAGATTCTTCCGCAATGTATGCTAATGAGGTTTAAAATATGTCCGTCTACTTTCAGAAACAGGCCAGCCCACAAAGATCAGCACCACATCAGCGCCACGAGATGCCCAGTGTGTTCCGTGCAGACGATTATTTCACGTCGCATCCAGAACAGTGACGGAACATGTGAATCAGCTCGGTTCTAATCTCAAGAGGCCTGTTTGGTGAAACTGTAAAGACAACCTTTACTGCCATCCTTTTGATGAAGATTTATTGGTGCAGAAGACTCAAACGAATCAATAGGAGCTCAATGAACAACTCGCCGAACGTGAAGTGAGGACATACTACACCTTTGGCGTGTTGATTCTCCAGGCAGCAACAAGCACTGAACTGTAGCAACATGATTTTATAAAGTGCCTAAATGAGTCTTACGTCTTTCAGATATGTTTTGTGAAGAAAAACAAGTCGGATGTTAGAATTGGGATAAATTGGGAGGACAATGTCATCGTTCTTGGTCGGACTAATGATGGTACATCAGAAGATGCTGTTTGGATCTTTAGATATATGTGAAAAATGAACCCAGCTTTTTTATAAATCACACTCCTGTCACTGGTGTTTGTAAAGACCTGCACGCTGCTCTTGGCTGATCTGTAGTTCTGTATCTGTCTGAGCAATACGATATTACCCAATTAAGCATTTAATGTCTTCCAATTTATAATATTCACTTTTTATCTAGCCTTATCTCTCCGACTGTTGATGACTATTAATTTGCTGACATTATTCTGCATCTTTGGTGACCGCTTAAAAATGCACAGGTACAATAATTGGGTTTTTTGTTTTGTTTTAGTTTTGCAAGCTCCACTGATAACTGATTATTTAGCACTACTTATGAATCTTTGATTTACAGTTGAGAGAATGTTTGAGCTCATCTTAAGATGCCAACAAAGCAGCAACCTTCACAACTGTGATTTATTATTTGCCAAAGTTGTTGTTATATATGTTACGTTTATGTGTTAATTTTGGTTTTATATTTTTAAAATTATTATTAAAATATATTTAAGGTGAGTTAATTTATATTTGTCATTTAAAAAATTTTAAAGTCTTATTTGTGATATTAAAACTAATTATTTAGTTTGGCCCATAAGAATGAATCTAGATGAAGAGGAAGATTATTATTGTTACTATTTTAGTAGAAAAGTTAATTTCAGAAATAACTATTATATTTTTGATTACATTGTTGCTTGTCTGCCTGATTTTCTACATAAAACTTGTAATTTATTACTTCATAAATATGTTTGAACAAGGCAGAATTAAACCGAATCTCTATATCATAGTCCATTAAGTGGGCTGATAAGGAAATCTCAAGTGTAGAAATACATAAACTTTAAATAAAAAATACACAATCCAGGCTAGGAAATAAATGTAAATAATTTTACAGCACTTGACATAGTTGCTCAGTTCTAGTAGTTGTAATTTGTAAACAAAAAGCTGCTGAAGTCTGCCTGACAGGCTGGGTCCGCACCATTGATTCGACCACGGCGCGCCGAGAAGGCGGTGTCTACACACTTCGCTCAATGTTAGACGTTAACCAACAACTTAAACCGATTCGTACGCCAGGGTTACAAAAAGGAACAGAGCCACTCAAGCGTGGCAACATTCCCTCAAATGATTGGTTAACTTGCTGTGACGTCATATGTTTGTCATCACTCGGGAGGAAGCGGCGGGAACACAACCTTGGTTTTTCGTAGATTTGATTCACTGTTGAACAAAGTAAGCTAAACTAACGAACACGGTAGAATTTTTTTTTTTTAATTAGGTGCTTCTCAAAAGTTTCAGTTTCCTGTAGAGACGAGCATTATGAAGAAAATAGATGAATAACTTTGGTTCCGAAAAAAAAAAGGCTACGCCAACTCGTGCTGTTGGCTAACCGTAGTGTTGAACTTAAGGAAAAGTTGGAAAGAACATATTATACGGGGAAGTTTTTACTCGAAACAGGGCTGTACTTTACTCCTGACGTGTCTTATCACTGTAACCGATTAATATGTACCCGGTAGTCATGATTTGACAAAAAAAGAAAGCGGCATGTAAAAAAAAAGTAGTTTTGTGCTTCTGCGCATGCGTAGTTGCAACTTTTGTAACATGGTAGCATGCACAGGTTGGTTGTAATTGACTGTGCTTATAGAAATGGTAAATTTGGAACATAATTTAAATGCTTCACAGTAACATTAGAAGTGTGGTGAATTCTGATTAAGAAATCTTCACTGAACATCACAATCAAAGTTCTGGCATCATTCGTGTCACTGCATCTTGATGGATCAGTCAGCTGGATGTCCTTTCAGGCTTTGCATCTGTCTCTTAACTGAAGAGGCAGCTTTAGTGATTAAAACCTCAGAACAATCTCTCGTGTGTGACGATACTGTCACAACAGCAACGTTTGTCTGATGATGTTCAGTGCAGAAAAGGAAGTAGACTAGAAATTAGTTTGTAGTCTAATTGGATATTTCAAGATTTTTGATAGAGATAGTGTTTGTAATAAACATCTGAATTTAATAAACTTTTCTAATTTTGACTTGCATATTTTTATACGCTTCCCTCTTGGATCCAAAGTTTCAGACATGGCTTGCAACAAAGAAATCTGGCAGAAGATTGGTGAAGGCTTTGTCCAGGAATATTATAACCAGTTTGATAACACCAACAGGATGGGACTTGCTCACCTATATGTAAGCTTTGCAACATAACATCAGTGTCATCAAACAGTATCTGCTTCAAAGTAAATCTCATCAGATATGGATGGAGTACAGTGATGCATAGTTAAGGTGTGTGTGTTTTTTTTATATAAACTTCTTGTTCTCAGTCTCCCGATGCCTGTTTGACCTGGGAAGGGTCACCGTTTCAGGGGAGAGACGCCATTGCTGATAAACTAGTAGTAAGTATGTTTTTACAAATACATTTTTGATCATAATCTAATAGATTGTGATCTAATAGAAGTGTCAGCTTTCAATCTAAAAGTTTATATTTCTTTTTGCCCTTTAAATCAGTGTTTTATGCGCTTCGTTTCTTCTGTATCCATAGCAAATCCCATTTTGTCAGATGTTCATTTAAAACATATATATATATATATATATTCTTTTTCATCTACAGAACCTACCTTTCAAGCGTATTAAGCACATTATCACGGAGCAAGACTGCCAACCAACAATGGATTCTTGTATTCTTATCATGGTCTTTGGACAGCTGCAGGCAAGTCTTTTTTTTTTAAGTTGACATGTTTAGGTTGTTAACTTGAATCCCCTGAAATATTATACACAATATTTAACTGACTGCTTATTTTGATCTAAAACATTCGAAGCTTATTGTGAACACATGTCAGATCAATGTGTTTAGCTTTTCCACTAACAAAGCATATATTCTTTTCTCCATAACAGGCAGATGATGATCCACCAATGGCCTTTCATCAAGTGTTCATGCTAAAGTGTCAGAACTCTGCATGGACATGCACAAACGATGTGTTTCGGTTGGGTGTACACAATATCCCAGTGTAATGATGGGAATTTCTTGGCTTGCACATTACAGCGCTTGAGATCATTTTGTTGTCATCGAGCCTGTTGGAACAGAAAACTTTATATAAAGTACATTAATGTCATTTGCTGTTAAAATTTCACATGTATATTAAATCAAATTAAAGCATTTATTACTCTGAACTACTGTTTTAGTTTTCCGTTTTTTTACTGAGTTGTTTTACTAACAATTAAAATACTTTTTATATAGAAAATAGGTGGAATGCCTCCTCCACGTTGGGAATAAATCTTTGCCTCAGGTGGAGAAGTTCAACTATCTGGGCATCTTGTTCACGGGAGGTGGATTGATGAATCGGAGCCTCATCCTCGTTAATGAGGGCGTTGCTTCGGTTCATTGTAATGAAAGGGATGAATCAAAAGGTAACACTCGTTTTACTGGTCCATCTATGTTCCAACCCTCACCTATGGTCATGAGGTATGGATCGTGACCAAAAGAGCAAGATCCTGGATAGGGCGAGGAGCTCCATCGTTCTTGTGGTGCACGAAGTAGAGCTGTTAAGGTGATTTAAGCGTCTGGTTGAGATGCTTCCTGGAGACTTTCATTTGTAGGTTTTCTAGGCATGTTCCACTGGGAAAAGATCCCAGGACAGATTCAGAACTCACTGGAGGGGTATATATATATATATATATATATATATATATATATATATATATATAT